ATAGAAAGCCCCGTTCCCGCTCCTCAGTTTTCGGAAGAGTAAGAGACGAGTGGGTATTGACCATTCATATATTGACCATTCATCGTCCCTCCTCTCTCCCTTAGGTAGAATCGCACAGAGACGGAATAAGAATCGCCTCGATTGGAGTGACAGGAAGAGGACTCGAACAGGTGGGATGTGGCAACCGATTAGGGATGCGAGGAGAGGAGTGGAGGTGAGGAGGCAGCAATTGTTCTAGCGGCGGAATCCTTCGACAAAGAAGGGGAGAGCTGACCGGAGTTTCCGGCGGTTCGGGAAGCAAAGGAGAGGATTTGCTGAGGAGGAGGGTTTTGGTGGTGGCGGAGGTTTCAATTTCCAATTTATTCATTTTAATTATTTTTTAATCAAAAGGGAAAATAAAAAGATAATAATAAAAGTTTCAGGTCAGATGCCACATCAGCACTGATTAGACTTTCTGTTAAAAACTAACGGTCAACGCCAGTCAATTCTAACGGAAAAATAATTAGGACACAAATGTCATATCAGATACTTTAGGATACAAATGGCACAAAGTTAATAGTTCGGGTTTCCTAGTGGTATTAGCCCTAAATATTAAATACATACCAATATCACCCATCAGGAAGTTAAAGATCTCCTACAAAACACTTAAACTATACATAGTTTGGTGGCTGTCATGGTATTGTACGTAATCCTAAGTCTAGTAGTTGTCCAAAATGTTTTGGTTTAGTAAATAGGCATGCCCATTTAATTTTTGACCCGTAATGCTTTGGTTTGTTGTTCACATGGAAATAAAATAGGGAATCACGAAAGTTGGTTTGGTTGTTTGCATGAAAGTATAAATAATTTTGTATATTAGGTGTATCATTAATTGGTTTCATTGGTTAGCGGTGTTGAAACCAAACCAAACCACCTAAACCAAATAAGCTAAATTGTATAACCAAACCAATTATCCAAATTAACTGAATGATACCGATTAATATGGTTATCACGGTAACCAGTCTGTTTGAACACCACTATCAGCAACCAAAGAAATAAAAAAAATTCGAATTTTCTTTCTTATTTCCTTTACCTAATTAAAAAACAAACAAAAAAATCTTTTCACCAAACCATCGCCCCCTTATCCTCTCGCCTCTTTCCTTCTTCTTGCAAAACCAAAAATCCCTAACCCTGACCAATCTTCTTCTCCCTTCTTCCCCGACGAGTGACATTCTCCCCGAGTAAAATGCAGCGGCGGTCGGGCGTTTGAAGACGTAGTCGTTGCCTCCGAAGCTTCGAAGATCGAATCCGCACCCAGAACCCTCACCCGCTCCGCTCCTGTCACTCGCGAGGCTCTGTGCTTTGTTTCTTGTCGAGTGTGAAAATTAGGGCATATCTCCCCTTCCCCACCCATCCATTCATGTCGATTTCATTCTAGACCAAAGCTTCCCCAGCCATCGCCCTCTGTCATTTTCTTTCTAGACCAACCCTTCCCCACCCATCGCTCTCTTCCGTGAAAGGCGAACAAAGTGAAGTGCGAGGGACCACAATAGCGAGGGACCACTTCGACAAAATCCTCTTTGTTATTCACATAAGGTAAGCAATCGCAATCTCTCGTAACTATCATCTGAATACGTCCAAGAAACCGATTCTGGATATATGTGGATTGATATGCAGTGGACATTAAACAATAATAGTTGATTTGTCTTTGTCAGCTTAGTGAAGTGAGCTTAGAAAAGTGTCTTTTTCGACTTGTTTATGTGCAGGATGGAAGACAAAATTCAACTCATTTTATGCCATGGAGGGTTTATGGATATGACAGGGGTTGTTCCAAAGTACGTTGGAGGTGATGAAGCTGTGGTGGATATGGTCGTTGATGTATACGAGCCACAAAACAGGGCTTGCCTCCTGTCAATACCACACAGCCTCCCACCACTCAACCAGAGTCGCCTTAGGACTTCAGAATATGCTATGTTATGAAGTAGATATCTACGTTTGGTAGTAAATTAGACTACCTTTTTGTACATGCTTTGTGCATGATAAGAATCCTAGTGATTCGTTTGGAATGTAGGAAGAAGTATGTAAAGCAGCTCCAGGGTTAGGAGCCCCCTTTTTGTACATGGTCTGCCCATGAACCCAATCTAAACTAAGGTATTACCCCTTTTGAAAATGGTCTGGACATGTTTTAATAATCAAACAGTTTATGGTTATGAATGAATGAAATTGTATATGTTTGTCCCAGTTAAACTTCAATGAAAGAGCATGAAAACATGAAGGAAATACGACAATATAATGAGCAGTTCAAGCAGTTCTTTGATTTCGTCGAAGATTACACAAATTAAACATGAATCGTACAGTTGAACAAGCTTACAATTGGACAAGCACCAAAACAGAAATGACCATGACTACAAAGATTACAAAGATGGTTAGTCGTCTTTGTAGCGCACAAATCACATTTCTTAATTTTGCAATTCACCAAAACTAGCTGAATTGATCTCGGTCACCTTCGTCAAGTCTTCAAGCATCGCCAACTTCTCCTGATTCCTCTTCTTTGCCTTCTCTCTGCCCTACGAAGCAGCCCTTGAAGTGCTTCCAATGTCGACTTAAATTGCTCATTCTCTTCCATAACTCCATCTAACATACACTCGCTTTCCGTCACTGCATCAACCTAGCGAGAAAATCGACAGTTCTTCTCTTCATCCTTCCAAAACGTGCATGAATAAAACAATCTTCCAGGATTGTCGTCTGTGCGAGAAGTGTTGACAACGCAGGGGGATTTGTGGACTTTGCATCTTATGGGCTTCACGTTTGACGAACCAGAAGAGGATGAACCTTGGTTGACGATTTTCCCAACTCGCCTGGACATTATTGCTGGATGGGTCTGGGTTTAAGAGCAAGAGGGGTCTGGGTCTGATAGAAAGGAAGAAGAGAGCGTGAGAGGGGTCTGAGTCTGATAGAAAAGGAAGAAGAGAGCTGCGATTTTGGTTTGGAATATGGAGTCGGCGGGTCGCCGGAAAAGAAGGGAGAAGAAGTGGATAGGGTTTTGACGAGAGTGGGGAGCCAGCTGATTCAAATAACGGGGCGATGGTGGTTGAAAAGATTTTTTTCCCCATTTTTTTTAATTAAGTAAAGGAAATAAGAAAGAAAATTCAATTTTTTTATTTCTTTGGTTGCTGACATGGCGGTGACCTGGACAGTTGACTAACGGTCAACGGTGTTGACCGTCCAAACAAACGGTCAAACCACGACCTGGGCCAAATGAGTATTTATGCTGCAAAGTTCGGGGCCAAAATAAGGTATTAACCCTTCATTGTAAGGCTACTTTTTCTTCGGGGAAGAACAATAATTGATGGTGGGGAGGTGGCAAATTACTTTGGGTGGCGCCCATGTATATAGAGAGCAACTCGACCATGGTGCTCGTAATTTATTTGTGAGAATCATCTTACAGGTGTTCAGATGCGTTAGATTGCTCATGGGAGTTACGCAGCTATTGGATGACAATGTTCAACGACCGTCAAAGCATGTATATTGTATGTACCCGCACGCGTGATCTGACAGTTCTGAACACATCTGTGAAATGGTTATTACAAATGGGTTGTGAGCACCATAGAAAAATTGGTGTATAGAACGGATTATTCTAAGAAATTATACAATATTTAATATGGGGTTATATGAATTATCAAAATATACTATTAGGTTTACAACATGGGCTAAACCGATATTTTTAGTTTGAGGGGACAAAAAATTCTTAGTAAAATTTACGAAGAAGGACATGGACTGGAACCATTATTAAAACTCTTCAAACAATTCAAGTTATTGGGACAAACTAGTTATCATAGCCTTTTGTGACCTAGAGGTCATCTCTTCGAATTTCGGTGGCCCCCTATTGGTAAGCACGTGGTGTCAGGTGTCTGTGAAAACTTTAAGCTTATATGAGTGGTTTTCGTTTGAGGAGCGTGTTAATATGTGATATATGATCCATTATTGAACCTCTTCCAACTAATCGAGTTATTGGGACCAACTAGTTTTAGAGAGTTAGAAGGCTTTGTTTTGAAAAAATTTTAATTTCCAAATATACATTTAATAAAATATAGGCTAGACTGCAATGTCGATTTTTATTGTTGCCTTGTTGGTCGGAAGGCAACTGAAGTAGTAGTATAGTACTGGGGTATCTTGAAGCTGAGTTTTTACCATAGGACATTAATCAAGCTCTACTTGGCTTAATTCCTAAGGTTAAAACGTCCTTACAACCTAAGGATTTTCAGCCAATAAGTTTGTGTAGTACAATCTAGTTAATTGACTTGAAAGAATTCTCAATGACCTAATAAGAAGAAACAAAGTTATTTTGTCCCTGGAAATTGAAGGTTCATCACGATTATCATTACTACTTTTGAATTGGTCAAATATTTGAAGGAACGTAACTAAAGGAAAAAGGGATTTCTTGCTACCAAACTTGATATAACAAAAGCCTAATATGATAGAATTGAATGAGACTTTCTAGAAAAAATTATGAAAAAATTGGGATTCTCGGATAAATGAGTAAGACTGATCGTGATGTATATTATTATCTCTATTGCACAATTATTTCTCGTTACTGATTATAGTGATATATTTCAAACCTACAAGTGGACTTCGTCGAGGTAACCCTCTTTCTCTCTAGTTATTTCTCATATTATGGGCTTGTAAGCCCTCATTAAACATGCAATAAAGGAAGAAACATTCATGGTGTGTAAGTGTGTAAAAAAGCTAGTGCTATATCACATATTTTTTCATGCAGAAAAGCTGATCACCTAAAGGATATTCTAAGAAAGTAAGAAGTTGAGTCAGGGCCGTAAATCAATCTATCCAAGTATATGATATTTCGTTCAGTAATAATCTTAAACCAAGAAAGCAATTGGAAATTTGAGGAATATAAGAGGTTGAAATGGCAAAAGACAATTGGAGGTATTTGTTTCAATAATTTAGGAAACTTTTAAATATGCAAATGACACGTCACGAAGTAAACTTAATTGAAAGTCATCGCGTATAAATTAATATCATGGTTACAAGTATTATTGTCTCTTTTCTCCACATAACACATTACAACAAACAAGAATAAGACATCTCCCCAAAACAATACATGTATAGAAATAGAAGAAAGACTTTACCAATATTGAAGTACTCTCAGACTTTTCAGTATACATGCAAATTCTCTCAATACATCTCCCACACACAATTATGCAGTTTATTACCGGAACAAATGGGCCCCATCTTCCCTCTGGCCCATCATCACTCTGGGCCCATTTCCACTGTAGCCCGCCAGGCTGCTTCAGAGTCAGCATCATCTCCTCTGGAAATTGAAGGCCTTTATTGCGAAGGCGAAAATGACGGCAAACAGCACACAGAAACCAACCACCATCACGCCAGCCACCCCCAAGAAGTCGTGCCTGTAGCCGAGGAAAACCCGGAGCACCACCTTCACCGGCGCCGACTGATTCCCGTCCGGCAGCTTCATCGGTGTTACGTCGTTGCCGTACTGCGACGTCAGCAGGCCGTATAGAGTCCATGCTATAGGGTTGGCCCAGTAGTACCATCTCCACCATATGGGAATTCTCTGTTACGCAAGAAACACAGAATTAGATGTTTGATTTTTTTGCTTTCCATTGAATCGAAGGGAGCAATGTGTTTGGAGAAGAGTACAAACTATTAACCTTGTGAGGGATCATGAAGCCGCTGAAAAGATTCCAGAGCATGTAAAAGGGGGCGGAGACGACGGAGGCGACGTTGTGGTTGGGAGTGAGGGCGGTCATCATCATGCCGTAGAAGGTGAAGTAGAGCATGGTGAAGTACATGAAGAACATGTACCAGATGAACTTGAGAGCCGTCCACTCGAACGCGGCCATGGAGTAGAATATGGAGCAGTAGATGACCGTTTGTCCCAACACGTAGGGGAACTCGATCACAACCTTTACAAAAAAGGTAACAAGGACGTGATCATGAAGGATGGAGGTGGTGAGAAGACAGAGATGTGAAACGGTGAAACTTAACGTAGAGGTGGATGAAAAGAGGCGAGACGAACCTGAGCAAATGCAAATGGCAGAGCTGAGTACATCCCTGCAGCTCTTTCTCTGTACGAGACAAACCTTTCGATGGAGACGACGGGCTGAACAGCACCTGCGTTCGTGATCCCGATGAACAGGACTGCCGCGTACATAGAACCCATGGCGTTAAACAGCTCTTGCACGGTTTCCCTGGGACAACAAAGGTGAAATGGTTTAGTGATTTTGATGATGTGGTAAGGAGGCTGCGCCTCGAGGTACAGAGCCAGACCTTTTGGAGCCGAATTTCCAGCAGATGGATCCAAGCATTAGTGAGATCACAACGGTGTAGAAGAAGCGAACTGCAGTGTATTGGGGGTTTCTCCAGTAAGACAAGTTCTGCTTCCAAAGGCATGCCAGGAACTGGTTGAAGAATGACTGGGAATATTTCGTTGGGAAGTTCAACTCTTTGGCTTCACCACTGGGCTTGCTTAGAGTTTCAATCAAGTCTTTATTATGCCTGAGACAATGATGGCAAGCATAAATCAGTGGATACCACAGGAAGGGTGACGAAAGTGCAGAGATAGAGTGATATTGAACTTACTGATATAGATTAGATTTCCTGTAAATCTCTGCAAAGTCCACGTCAAGCCGGGTTTCTTCGGATGAAGAAGTAACATCAAGCATCCAGGCAGCAGGGTTGTAGCCTGGTTTGATCTTTTGCACTCCATCAATAGCCTAAAGAATTACAAGGTAGTCTGAGTTGAGAACTTAGATTAACATGGCAACTTTCGAATAAGAGCATTTCTACATGTATCAGAACAGACCTCAAAGTACTTGATGAGTTGACAAGACTTGGGGCCAAGGGGTCCTGCATATATAACCTCTCCTCCACGCTTCATAAACAACAGCTGCAACCAAAATCAACTGCATTCAGCAAGACAACATTTTTTTGTGTTGACATAGAGAAATTGACAGCAGAGAAGAGAAAAGTCACCTCATCAAAGGATTCAAAGATGTCTATGCTTGGCTGGTGGATGGTGCAAACAATTGTTCGCCCGGTATTTACAATATTCCTAACTGTCCTCATAACGATGGCTGCAGCCCTTGCATCCAACCCTGAAGTAGGTTCGTCCATGAACACTATAGATGGGTTGGCGACCAATTCCACGGCAATGGTTAACCTTTTCCTTTGTTCTGTCGAAAGACCATGCACTCCAGGGAGCCCAATCAATGCACCACTCAACGGGGTGAGCTCCACAAGTTCCATCACCTCTTCGACAAACGCCTGGAGAAAAATAGTTCCACAAGACGGTTAATATAAAATCCTGCAGCTGAGATTAGACAGCTGATATAACAAGCATGTTGCTACCTGTTGAGTCTCCATGTTTATTTCAGGTGATAACCGAAGCCCAGCAGAGAACAGAAGTGATTCAAGGATAGTCAGGCAAGGAGAATGAATATCGTTTTGCTCGCAGTAACCAGAAACTCGAGCAAAGGTTTCCTGCTTTTTGGGATAACCAGATATGTTTATTGTCCCTTCGATAACACCTCCTGTTTTCCTGCCAGCTAGGACGTCCATGAGGGTTGTCTTACCAGCACCACTGACCCCGACCAGTGCTGTGAGGATACCTGGTCTGAAAGCTCCAGTAACGTTTACCAACAGTTGCAGCCTGTCTTCTGCTATCCCTTGTTGTTTCAACTCCTGAAATATAAGAATGTGGTAAGAAGTTCCGAGAGATTCTTCAACAAATTATTCCATGGATAATTAGAACAACATACTCACCAGAGGGACATCCACAAAGTAATTGATGTTGCTGAAAGACATTGAAAGGGGCTGAAATGGAAGAACCATCCCTTTCTTCTTGAAATATTTTCCTGCTCATGAGTAACAGGACAACTTAAACACAGTTCATGGTATGACGTGGTTGAAAGTATTATGGGGGAAACGGTTGCGACGTGCACTGACCATTTATCGAGTTTGAATTCTCCAAATAATGTCTTAGTTCAACAACGATCTCTCCACTTTTCCTATTCTTCTCTCTCTCTTGCAGCTCTTCTCTGGAGACGACGGACTGTTGTATTCCCAAAGCTGCGGAAGACAATGGCAACATAATAAGCATGGCAAAATTATTCAAGTTCTTCATGCTTCAAGTGAGAATCTTTTCGATAAAATTTCTTACGCTTGAGGCAAGAGAGGAAGCAAGTGAACAGGGAGTTGAACAATCCTGTATATCCTAGCAAAGCTGCAAGGCCAATCCAGTACCAGTAGCTTTCATGGAATAAACTGCGTGATTTTAGTAGCGCCTCACCAAGATTGCTGATGGTACCATTCGCAGCTTTCTAGATAGGCAAATAAGAGCTGTTAATTCCTAAAATGAAAAGCTGATGATAGCGATCAACTGCAATTTGTTTCTCGCTTCCTTCGATATAGAAAAGACAACAAATATCAAGGTGACATCTGAATGATTATCACCTTATGCCAAGAATGACCCAGGAACTCGTTGACTGAAGCAGCATTTTGTGCATACATGAGAGGAGACACCCAGAATCCCCATATCCACCAGCTCGGTATACGGTCTGCAGCAAGGGTTGCATAGTCAGAAAAGAGCAGTTGAATGAATCTTCAATATATTACCAAGCAGGATCAGGAGTTTCACCTCTAGAGACAATGTATCCTCCAAGGGCCATGACAACCAACATAGCAAATGATCCGAATGTGTTGGCCACAATCATATTACGACCCAAGGACCCCATCACCCGGAAGAGAGCAATAGACGTTTGGTGCAGAAAGAAGTACAACAAAAACTGAAGCAAGAATCTGCGAGTATATAAGATCAATTTTAATGCTGGACAGCAGTGTTGCTCATGATATGTATGCAAAATAGCTTACATCTTACCTTATTATATTGGGATCATAACCAATTACGTAGTACGTAACAGCCACCCAGAGACCAGACTCCATAAGTGAAGTTGGAATACTTAAGATCCAAGAAGGAATTGTGTATGCCCAGCTTGGGTAGAAATGCAAATCCCTGTGTTTGTACAGCACTGGCAGCTTTGCTACCAGCATTGAAACCTCCGTAAAACCATTGAAAAGGATGATGACCATGGAAAAGTATTGAGCTCCAACATACAAGCCTCCATCATAAATTGAATCGTGATGCATTGTTGTGCGGAAAAATACACTCATTGTGATCAAAGCAACAATGAAAAGCTGCAAAACAAATCGAAATGAGGTCAGCTTCCAGTATTAGAAACTAAAAGGAGCAGGTGTTGGTACGACGATTGGGATCCAGTTATGATGTATGTACCTGAACGAATTTGAAAACGTAAATAAATGAATTCCGTTGAATAAGTAGCCTCTGCCAGTTATAGCACGTCTTGAAAAGTTCACTTTTGCTGACCCCATAGCGAGAAGTTGACAGTGCTGCTGGATGATTGTAGCGCTTATCGAAAGGAACTTCTAGCTCTTCGTGCATATGTTTACCTGTTCGAAATGAACGAAAAGCCTCAACAAACTTCCTTGGTGGAATGTATCGGTATGGACGATAAGAGTTAGACCAGTATTGCTGCTGATCCTTTTTCGATGTGACCTGCAAAAGTGAAATTTTAACTTTTGTAAGTGACAAACTAAGAACACAGGTTGGATATCTACGATTTGCTCTACATGAGACTTACTTCCTGCAAAAAGTCTGCCACATTCTTTCTCTCAGGACAGCTAAATCCCAGAGATGAGAAGAACTCAAGAACGGTCTCACGGGGTCCCTGGTACACAATCTGCCCTTCCGACAGAAGTATGACGTCATCAAAAAGCTCGAACGTCTCAGGGGCAGGTTGCAGCAATGAAATCATGGTTGTCCCATCAACTGCACGAGTTGAATGCCTCAGATACTTTATGATTTGGTAAGTGGTGGAACTGTCTAGCCCGTTGGAGATTTCATCCATGAAGAGTACTCTTGCTGGACCAACTAGTAGTTCACCTGAAAGTGACCATTGGAACAGCAACAATAGTTTCAGGTTCAAGAGGTAAAACAGAGGATGAGCCCACAAAGTGGAAACTATATAGTGGAAGAGATGCCTACTATCCACCTGTTGTGAGCCGCTTCTTCTGACCCCCCGATATTCCTTTCAGCATTTCATCACCCACCAAGGTGTCCGCGCATACATCCAACCCTAAAATCTTTGTCAGACGTACTTTAGTACTTCAGAAAACCTCACAACACTGGGAATATGCCAAAAAAAACTTAATCGCAAACTAGTGCAGAAAGAACAGAATCTGTCCATGGGCTAATCTTCATTTTTATGGATACACTTAAAAAGCTAGTCCTTGATACTGTTTCCAAGGAGGGTTTATTTATTTCTTTAGTTTACTACTCGGAATTAATTAGCATATGCAGCATACCTTCATGATGTACTCCACCACTAAGCTTGTTTCCTGTCCCCCCAAAGCTAACGACTGCAGAAAGAATAAGACGTAACAAAAATAGATACTTAATTTCCCTCAGCATTAACAATAAACCACTCTGGAACAGATGAATCGTCTAGGCTAGAGTACCTTCATGAAAATATCAAGATCTTCATCAGGTTTTATCCCTGACATCTTCTCTCTCCTTGCAAGTTCCATAAGCATATCTGTCACAGTCACCATGCTTTTACAGTCAGAATATATAGAAGTGCCAACAATTAGAGAGGCTTGAAGGGATGACTCGAAGGTTACCGAATTTGGACCCAACACCCTGACACCTTCCTGCTAATTCTAGGGTTTCCCTGACGGTCATCTCTGGAATATGCCTATCGTGTTGACTGACATAAGCTGATGTCCTTGGAGCAACGAACTCGGTCAGACCATGCCCATTATACGTAATTTTCCCGGACACCTTCAGTGTAAAAACAAAGCAAGTGAACAAGTGGAAAACCATTTCAAAAGAGGTAACTTCTACGATCATCCATGATGTACTGTTCTACCGACACTGAGTAACTGTGTAAAGCTATTTTTGCACAGAAGCAAAACAGCACATGCAATAAGAAGTTTAAATCATTCTCTATCCATATTTAACACGAAATAGTGACCTCTGTCTGCTACACTAGCACCACGTCAGCTCAGAAAAGTCTGCCTGCAACTGTTTCAGTTTCCATACTGATTGATAACGTAATGCAACCCGGATTACCTGCAAATCATTTCCAAGACGGCCAGCAAGAGCCAAGAGCAAAGTGGTCTTGCCAGAGCTAGGAGGTCCTAACAGAAGGGTCAGTCTGAAAAGCAAAACAGGAGAATTATGTGCTGCAACACTGTGCTACCGGGAAAAAAAATGCTGAAACGACTAGAGACAATTCTATACCTCGAAGGTCTAATGATCCCACTAAGATCATCTAAAATTGTTAACTTGGTTCTGTTTCCTCGATACATCCGCAGCGTCCTTAACAATGCCTGCTCAAACAGTAAACCCAACAGATTTCAGCATGAGATTAAACTGTAGCTGGTCCATTAATACACTTTTTTACATTTAACCTCTTAATCCAAGCCACTTACCTCAGACATGTTGAAGATAAAGTTAGGGATGGTGGGAAGAGCCCTACTTCCCACATGGACATATGATTCAACCATCAAGTTCTGAAACCGCACTTCAATCTTGGGGAATTCCAATTCCACCCTGCGAAATGGACCCGTTTCAGGAAAATTAGATTAGTCAGAAAGTCACCACTAAGATCTATTCATGTACGAATCGGCCACCTAATTGAACCAACAAACAAGCGTTCCATAAATGATAAATCCGCTGTCGATTAACCGCTTAAGCGCGATTGCGCCATCAAAACAGAGTGGATTGTCGTTTTCAGAAATTTAGGACCTGCAAATCCCGTTAGGACGGGTGGCCTGAGCTCATCCAAACAAACAGATAAACGCCAATTCCGGTATCTTTTTGTCCATTTTCAGTCCATTTTTGTTGACCAGTAGACGATTTACGTTACGCCACAAACAGGAAAAAGGAAAATTGCACCTTACGGAACTTGTTTTTGAAAATTTTTTGGACCGACAAATTTCCTACCAAAAAATTTGCAACCAACTCCAAGCACAGAATTCAAACTCCGGTAATCAAAATTCAGCATGATCAGAAGCAAGAAATCAGAATGGCTATCCAAATCGAGATAGTACTCCATCAGAACGCAAGCAAACCGCAATTCGCAGGGACAGAGAGCTGAGAGGGATGAGAATTGAGAAGAACAAGGAAGATGAAGAGAGAATTACGCGTCGAATCGCTTCCGCATCCGGTCGAAGAACAGCTCGGGGTCATCGTCCACGGCAGTAACGAGCCGCTCGAGAACCAGCCTCTGCTCATCGGCCTCGAGCTCGCTCACATCGATCTCCCTGTGATCGCCGACGACGTTCCTGAAAATAGCCCGTCGCACCCTCGCGTAGGTCGGCAGCCGCTCCAGCGCCGCCCAGCGCAGTGCCTCCTCGTCCTCGCCGTCCTCCCGGAACGACGACGACCGCGCAAACACATTCTCCGCCGAGCTCCACATACCTCAGATCTGGCCGCAACCGAAACCCTAGGAGCACCAGAGCAGGGCGGCGCGCGCGCATACGAGATGAAAACCAAGAGGGATGAGAGAGATTAGCGGGAAGCAATTACTCATTCGCAGCGGAGATTTCGCTGCTTTCCCTAGTGGTGGTGATTGATTGTGTGTGGGCGAATGAGCGAGTGTGAAGCGATCGTTAGCTACAGCCTACTTGTATAGTCCTCCAGCAGGATGGTGGTTGAGCTCGTCATTAATGGCGGTCATTTTCTTCACCCCCTCTCTCTCTCTCTCTCTCTCTCTCTCTGCTCCATTTTGTCAATTTTTGCCTCTTCTATGAGTTGCGTTGCAAAGCGGTGGTAATGGTATATACACTCGTCGTAGCTGTTTATTTCTCGTTTTCTCTCTGAGTTTTCTCTTTCTTGAACGTTAAAGGGAGGCGCAGGGGAGGCTCATTAATAGCCGCGGGAAAGACAAACTATCCTTTCGAATTTGCGTTGAGTCCGCCACTCTCGTGGATGGTGAGTTCTGATCACTCGCGATGCTGGCCCTACACGTGTCACCGGCTTTTGGCTGAGCCGCTGGGATGGATCTAGTGGATTTTCGATGAAATTGGTGCGGCTGAGGGATTTGAATTGATAATTTTTGAAACGGTTGGGGGTATGGGAAAATGGGGGGACTTTCTGTTTTTCTTTTAAATACTTCTCCTACAAGATTTTGGCTGGAAATTATACAGCCAGACATCTTGGTATGAAAGGTTTATACTTGTTACAGCCAAAATTCACATATATATACTTTTATACGCAATACCAATACCTAGTTTGGTAAATATTTGTACTGATTGTCGATTGATTTGATGAATTATGTGACTTCCACTTGGACTGGTTCTGGTTGATTTGATGAATTAAGTAACCATCATTCTTGGTGGAAATTTATGGCTTGGAAGAGTTCAAACTTTAAGTAGAAAAAGAGAGACTTAATAGGATTTAAAGCTCTTAGGAAAAATGTTTGGAAAAACAAGGTCTTCAATGTTTGTAGAATCCATGGGTCTGTTTTGGATGAGCTTTTGTAAACTAATTTGGAATTTGGAATTTTATGGATGGAGAAAAAGAAATACGAGTTGGAGGGACCAAACCACCCTTAAAACATTTTCAGGATGAATGACTAAAAAAATAAGATATTTTGAATTATTTCGAATTATTATTACTCTCTTTGCAATTTCGTTTGGAGGTTGAGATTTGAAGTGAGGTATTTAACAAATACATGTAATGATAAGATTAAGTCGTTTTTTTGGTTCACTTTGAGTTAGAATGCATGCATTACCTTTTTGTTGGGCCCACCTACAATCACTCAAAATGAATGATTATAAATCTCTACTAAAAGGTGAGATTGTTAATGAGGGATTGTCTACCTTACTTTTTGTTTCATCATTGCTCTTCCAAACAAAGTATTTTCCTAATACATGCATTGAATCAATACATCAAATAATAATACACTAATTGACCTAATACATCAATTTGAAGAATCACAACTTCCAAACGACCCCTAAAATTACAACATATTAAAAAATTGTAATTATTTTAACTGCCAAGTGAGTCATTCCAACCCAAATACTTTAATACGAGAATAAAGTCCAATTATCTCACTGAAATACCTCGTTCCAATGACCCTACACGCCCATTTGCAACTATCCATGTGACCCATCATCTTCCCCTGTAGTCCGTAGACCACCAAATTTGGGATGGATAGGTTCTATGTCACATGATTGGGGTGAGCATGTAGTACTTAGCATATGATAGAAGAGTGACATGCCTCCCTTGCACTAGTTAAAAGTTCAATTTTAACAAATTAGTCATCAAACTTCTTTCCCTTTGTAATAAAATTATTACTAGCTAGATCTAAGCTCATGTATTGTGTTGTTAACTAGTTAGGTTGACTCATAGCGTTACCCCCACTCAACATATATCAATTGGTGCAAAAATCACTTGTAATTGAATGTGACTCGAAAGTGAAATCTAAAAGGGATTCGGAAGGCATGTAACATGCATGGAAAATTCTAGCTACTTAACTTATTATGTTATTTTCTGTAAGAGAGTCCCCCCCCCCCCCCCCCCCCAATGAAGGGATTATCATCCAAAACTAAGGTAAAATTCCGATCAAATTTGTCATCAATTCAACAAAAAATCAAAATGGTAACGATCACGCTTGACACATTGTACAACAACTTGTATTGCTGAGATGAAGCGGTTCTAATACCCATTTGGATAGTTGTCAGTGTTATATCAACTAGTGAAAAATTCACATTTAATTGACTTTTGCGCAAACGTGAAATCAGGAAATCCTTCTCTGAAATGAATTCGAAATGGTCTATAACATGCACAAAAAGTTATAGTAACTTCACGTGTTATGTATTTTGTTTAAGATAGTTAATTAAAAAAACAAAGAGACAACTCTCATCCAAAACGAAAGATAAATTATCATCACAATTGTCAGCAATTCAGCCAATAAATCATAACGATAGGTAATTCAAAACACATATAATATGACAGATATCTTTAATTTTTATTGTATTTTGTTCTCGTGTCGCTAGTTTGTAGGAATGTGGAGTCAATCATGGTTAGTGGGAAGCCTAGATTTTTTTTGACAGTGGTAAACGTTGTTGCTTATATTCCTCAACCCAATTGTTCAGATACATTATAAAAGAAAGGATCCAAGATATTTAGTACATTAATCCAATCTTCTGGCAATGATCCCTGCTTGAACGATCTAGCCACCCAGTCAGCACGGAAGTTTTTCTTCCTAGGGAAGAAAGCTACCTTAATTCTTGGCTCGCCCTCAAGGATGGCTTTCAAAACGCTGAGCCTTGCCGCGCATGTCCACGGCCATGACTCTGGTGGCCTTTCCAAAGCGTTCACGAGGGAGATGCAATCTGATTTAACATGGACCTTTGCGTTTAGTCTCTGTGCAGCCAAAATAGCTTCCTGAATAGCCACAACCTCCGCTTCAATTGGTGAGGAACATAAAACAGGTCCAGCAGCTCCATCGCAAACCTGTCCATGGTCATTGAGTATCACATAACCATACGCCGCCTCCTGGGATTCATTCGAAAATGAACCATCGCAGTGAATCTCAAAACTGGGATTGCTTGGCGGTGGAGAAGGTGAGTTCTGGGGGGGGGGGGTAGTGCTGTTCCTCGTGTAGTCGTTGCTGCCTTGGCGGTTTCGGACACTCGGTCCACTGTTTCAGATCACGGGCAGCATTGGAGTATGATCGGGGTGGCCAAGGATTTACGTTGTCGAACACCTTCTCGTTTCTTGCCAACCAAATGGTCCATAAGAGGTAAATGATGAAGTGAGATGATTGTTCTGGGACTCCTTTGTGGACCTGAAACAGCCAATCAAGAAGGTTTGTAAGGGGAGGTGGAGTCGTAATGTCGGGGAAACAAGCTTTCCACGTCTCTTGGGCATGGCCACATTCAAATAGGCAGTGGTGAATGGTTTCCGGGCAGCCCATGCATACTGGACAATCCGGGTTTGGCGAGCACTTTCGGGCTTTCAGCTTTGATTTTGTGGCCAACGCTCCCTTCGCACATCTCCACAGAAAAAATTTCATTTTTGGAGGGAGTGCCAACCCCCACATCCACCTCCATTTTTCCTTCTCAGTGGTTATGGTGGCATCGTCCTGTTCCACCGTTGTCTGGCATCTACTGTGAACCAAACGGTAGGCCGAACCAACCGAGAAGCATCCATCAATCGTAGGTTTCCAGGCCCAGAAATCGGCTGCCTCTCGATGACCGATTGGGATTCTTCGAATTGCTTCCCTCTCTTGAGCTGATGTGAAGCGATTTAACCTCTCATCATCCCAGATTCGGTTCTGATGGTCGATCCATTCCGCCGCCAAAATTGTTGGCGGGTTGTGTCTCTGTAACCTTTGTCCCTATAAAGTACGCACCCATGGATCTTGGAACACCCTCGTGCTGGATCCATTGCCAATCACTCTTATGACATCCTTCTCAAGCTGCCCTTTAGCAGTCCATAGGCTGCTCCAAATCCACGATGAACTCGCCCCTCTAGCAGCAGAGAGGAAGTCGTTGCGTGGGAAGTATAAAGCCTTAAGTAGCTTTGCCCACAAACTCTGTGGGTTCACTAGGAGCCTCCAACATTGTTTCATTAGTAAAGCAATGTTAAAATTCCTAAAAGAGCGGAAACCCAGGCCTCCCTCTTCTTTACTCTTGAGAAGAATTTCCCCTTTGCACCAGTGAATGGCCTTTCGCTGAATGGACCCTGACCAGAAGAATCTTCTTACCAAGGCGTCCATCCTGTTCGTAATTGAGTTTGGGAGGAGGAACAAAAACATGATATAGGTCGGAATTGCCTGTAACACTGCTTTGATAAGCGTCTCTTTTCCTCCCGGTGATAGCAGTAGACTTTGCCAGTTTTCTCCTCTGTTTTCCATTCTCTGGATGAGAAAAGAGAAAGTTTCTTTTTTGGAGTTTCCCCATTCCGTTGGTACTCCAAGATAGTTGGAGTGGTTGTTTATGTCCGAGAAACCCAATACTTCCCGGATCCTTCCTCTCTCCTCTTCCGGAGTGTTTGCACTGAAAAACACGGATGACTTCTGGGCGTTAATTTCCTGTCCCATAATAGCCCCATAGTCTTTAAAGATCCCCAAAATCGTGGACCCTTCAAGCGCCGAGGCTTTACCAAAGATGACCGTATCATCCGCAAATAAACAGTGCGTGAGCTTTGGACATCTCCTGTTCAGCTTCAGACCTTGCAAATCATTCCTGGCCGCTGCTTTATCAATAAGAAAAGTGAGGGCATTAGACATCAAAATGAAAAGGAGAGGGGACAGGGGGTCTCCTTGGTGGATTCCCCTCGAAGGGGAGAAATCCAAAGTTGGTTCTCCATTGAAGAGGATTGAGAAGCTGACGGTTCTGATGCACTCTCTCACCCAGTTGCACCACTTCTCATCAAAACCATATTTGGTAAGCAGCAGTTCCAGGCAATCCCAGTCAACCAGGTCGTACGCTTTTCTCATATCAAGTTTAAGCATCATATCTTTTTTATTTCCCATTTTATGTTTCTTGAAGTGATTTAAGACTTCGTGGACAATAATGATATTGTCCTGAATCTGTCTCCCACCTGTAAAAGCCGCCTGAAGCTCTGAGACCAACAGAGGCAGCCATATCTGTAGTCTGGTTGTCATAATCTTGGTGATAATCTTGTACCTGAAATTGCAGCAGTTGATTGGTCTGAATTGAGAGATCATCTCTGGAGACTCCGTTTTTGGAATCAAAGTAATGAACGTGTCATTCCAGCCCTTCTCCATCTTCCCTGTGGTAAAAAAGTTCCTCACTTCTTCACACAGTCC